GCACATGCTTGACCAGATCTATCTCGCAGCTAAGCCTATTCATCTTAATTGTAAGAAAAGCTTTCGCATGTTGACATCCTTGCATAAAAAGCGAAAGGCTCAGCTTAAAAGCATAAATGAAATCAGACAAATTTTCAAACCATTAAACGATAAATTTTTAAAAGGGAGATTAAGATGAAAGGAATATTCTGGATAGCATTGACCATATGCTGCATGCTGCAGCTACAACTGGCTTCCGCCCAAACGGCGGAGTTACAGCAGCTCATGCTCAATATTGAAAAGCTGGCGCAATTAAAGCAGATTTTGACCGATTTAAAGAAGGGATATGAAATTGCCAATAAGGGATACAACACCATTAAGGACATCAGTGAGGGGGATTTTAATATTCAGCAGAATTTTCTTGATGGGCTGCTGGCCATTAATCCGGAACTGAAAAAATACGAACGTGTCGGAGATATTATTGCCTACCAGCTCAGTATCGTCTCTGAGTATAAAAATGCTTTAGGCCAGGTGCAGAACAGCAGGAAGTTTTCTGGAAATCAACTGGCCTATATACAAAGCGTGTATGACAATTTATTTGAACGCAGTCTTCAGGATCTGGATGAATTGACGATGGTATTATCCGCCGGTAAGTTGCGGATGAGTGATGATGAAAGAATAAAGGCCATCGACCGGATTTATTCCGGCATGCAAACTAAAGTGTCTTTTTTGCGGGCTTTTAATAAAAGAACTATTGCGCTGAGTAAACAGCGAAAGAGCATGGAACGCAGTGTCGATGAGCTTAAAAAAATGTATGAGTTAAATTAAGGTTACCTGATGTGCAGCCTGAAAAATGTGTAAGTATGAAAAAGGTATTAATTATAATGGTAGCCGTGTTCCTGGCACCGCAAATTTCACAGGCGCAAGGCGTAGGTGAAAGTCTTTATGGATTTAACAGTGTGCTGGACCGTCTCTTTCAGGAAATGCTTCCGCTTTGCAGCCGCCTGATCGATGTCGGCAGGGTCATCGCTGGTTTTGCTGCCTTATGGTACATCGCCATCCGGGTATGGAAAAATATCGCCAAAGCGGAGCCGGTTGATTTGTTTTCCTTACTGCGTCCCTTCGCCATAGGTCTTGCAATCATGTTATTTCCACACCTGATCAACCTGATGAATGGGGTGCTTGAGCCTGTTGTGGTAGCCACAAGGGCCATGTCGCAGGACAGTAAAAAAGCGATCAGCTATCATATTGAACAGCAGGAAAAATC